CGGGACAGGTGCTTTTTACGGTATCGGGTCGCGTCTTAGAATACACGGGAACAAGTGGGGGTCACGTAAGGCGGCGGAGAGCGAGAGAGCGAGAAAGTTTAGCGTGGGTTGAAAATAGCTTGTGGCCGGACTGAAAATGCGGAGAGCGTCCGCTATGCACTTGCCGCTCGATATTTATATCCTTATAATAGGTAGGCGCGTTACAACGTATCGTCTTTGCTCCGCCAACCGAACAAACGATTAAACGATCGCGCCTTTCGCTCGGACGATGCGACGAAACGAGATCGCGCTGATTTTTTCTTCTTTACGGGGCTCGTAAAACCTTTACGAGATACAGGATTCGAGATTTCGTAAATCGAAACTGGTTGGCGCGTCGAAAGTGGTGGCGAGTAACGAAGGAAAACTCGAACGGCGGATTCTCTGGTTACGTCCAGAAGGAATGCTCCGGTTGCAGCGGACGAGGCAACGCGACAGAAACGGGCATGCCATCTGGAAAGTAACGGTAACGGCACCTGCAATTAGCGCGACAGCCTGGCTGCCTACTTGTTCGAGTGTTGGCTCGCACGATCCGGTCGTCGATGACCTTCCTGCGACGGGGGGAAAACGAGATCTCGGGGTGTATCGCGATCGCTGCATGGACCTCCTAGGAAAAGGATCGCGAGCATCCGGTTTCTTCTCTTCCGTCGCGGCCTTTCTTCTACTCGGTTAAGGACGCCGCGTTCCACCCTTTTAAGCTCGAACGTCTTTCGGAGTATTTAACGTCCCCGACTAGCGTCGCTGTTTTTTACCCGATAGGAATCTGATATATCGTCTCGACGAAGATCTCGAGAATCTCGGAAGGTTCGCGGCTCGTAAAAGATTTCCCCCGATCGTCATCTTCGATCTGGATGTTGCTGCGGGTCGGCGTTACGAGCCGATTCTTTCTCGATTTTCTTTCACGTACCCTCCACTGAATTTTGAGCCGCGACGCATTCCGAAGGACGCAGCTGCCTTCGAACGAGCAACAGCTGTTCCCCCGTGCTTCCATTGGCTCGAGCAGCCCGTACGTACTTACGGACGTCTGTTTTCCAGGATACTCGCCGTGCCTTCGTGGTTCGTCTTTTCGCTTAGCATAACAATGCCCCTTCTTTCGAAACGCGGAAGGTCGTAGGATTTACTAAAAAACTTGGCTCTCGTAAAACGATTTCCGCTCGCCGTTTCTCTAACGATCCGTCGAACGGTGGTTAATTCGATCGAGCGAAATTGCGACGAGTTCCCTCGTCGTGACTCGACGGGATACGAGGTCCGCGCACGACATCTTATTAACATCCCTTCTGCGCGATGACGGCGATTATCGCCGATACAGATAGCTAACGAACGATAAAGCGGTCGTGGCGTTCCCGTGTCGAGGGCTCTTCAGCTTCCCGTCGCCTTAATTATATTTATCGGTTTGCTCGATCGGAACGGTCGCCACGCCGATCTCTCGTGGATCGTCGCGAACTCCACGGAGCAAGAGAAAAAAAGCACGGTGGCTGGATCTTCACGGGTGAGAAAATACGATGGTATGCCGCGAGCACGCGCTGCATCGACGAACAAACGTTGCCTTCTTCTCAAGGTCGTCGTGATCATTGTCCGTTCACCGGTACGCTGCTCGCTCATCCGATCGATAGCTCTGTTCCCGGGGATCGTGTTGTACGAGTCGGTGGAAGCCACCCAGAGTCACGGATGGCCGTGTTTCTCTTCTCGAGAAATAACCTGAAATTCCAACGATCGTTATTCAGCCGCACCGTATTTAGACAGCCTGGCTATTCGTGCCAGTTACAAAGGAACGCGTACTCGGCCAACTCGTTTGTCGCGGTAGTTTTCTTTCGACCGCTCTCCGAACGAAGACGTCTCGTCGCTTAATTTCGAGCCAACGTCTCGAGCGATCTCGATCGCGGAAAAATTCAGCAGATCGCGGTATCTGGCCGGTAATCGATAGGAACGGAAAGGAAAGTCAGCGAGCCTCGGTCGAGCGAGAAACGTCCTGTTGGAATGATGTATGGATCGAGATCGATCATGAGCAGGCAACCCGTGGCGGAGTCGGGGGTACCTACATAGTTGGCGAGATATTACGACACAGACTGGAGAGGGAGTCGAGCACGACCGCGACGGAGAAGGGGATCGTTGCGGATCGTTCGCGATCTCGATGATCTATGGGTCACGATCTCCCACTGTTAGGACGCTTTTTCCCGGATCGTTGCGGATCGCGACTTCGAACGCGTTCCGTGGTTTTTCGACCGCTCTAGAAAGTCGTCTCGACGATAAAGGGGTCCGTCGGTGAAAGAGGAATACCGCAGGATCGGACACGTAGGTGGACGAGTTTATAAAGTGTCCGATTCGTTACGTTCCTTTTCGAGACGATCGCAACTTTGTACGGTCATGGATCACCTCTCGGTTTCGCGAAACGAGTCCTTGAAAATCAGATTATCCGTTCTTCCGTGGCCTGCTTCTCGCCCACGCTCTCGTTCGAAAGAACCGTTCCAACGAAGCGGACGGGATACGCGTAAGCGGTTTTGCCAATGTTTCCATTCGCAGCTAGACTCTATCCGCTTTCGGTATTTTCGTCCGAATCGGAACGATCGGAACGTGTCCCTGACGCGTCGTCGCTTCTTTTTGAAACGCCTGGCGTCGAGACGAGTTCTGGTGCACGCTTTCGCGAGCTGGCAGCTGCGAGACGGAACTCGGGGAAAATTCGTAGTAACGCGTTGTCGTCGAACGCGCGTACGAGAAAAAGAAAGAGAAAGAGGGAGCCGTGTTTGTTCGTTAAGACCCTATACCCGACGACCTCGTTACTACAACGCGGTCGCTCCCCTTCGGTTTCCGTTCGGTTAACCGTAAATTACAACCGCGCGACCGGTGTGTAACGAGCATAATGGCGACGGTAGCCGGGTGAAGGTCGGCCAACTCGAGCGAACGACGCGAGCTACGATAACGATACGAATCGACGTTTCGTTCCGTTTCGCTAAAAATCCGTACTGAGATCTCGTCTCGAAATCTAGCGACCGAAACGAAAAGTCGACCGCTCTCTCGTATCGACCGATCGATCAACCATAGACAAGCTTGTCCTTACGCGGCGGCGTCGAAAGATGAAACGGCGATCGAGGATAACGACACGCAGATTCGATCATCCTTGGAGAAGCGGCGCAACGATGCGTGGCTCCCTTTTGATTTCGCTTTCTTTCGCTTCGAGAAATTCTCTCGCGAGAATAGCCGATCGACTCTCGAGCCGATCTCGACGATGCGACGCGACGGTACGACGCACAGAAATCGTTGGAAAGTAAGTTGGTCTAACCGTTCCACTCAAAGGCGTCCTACTTTGCCAGCCATATCGTCGATCGTTGCGGTTCCGTGTGTGTCCATTGTGGCGTGCGTTGGAAAGGGAATAACCTTGCTCGCATTTTCTGTCGTGTCGCAAGCTACGTCCACCCCTGTCTCTATCCGCGTACCGCTTAAACTCTAGTCGAACGGAACCATTATCCTTTAAGCGCGTAAGTCGATACGTTATCTCGTTTACCGCGGTAAAGCAATTAATCCTATCCTTCTCTCGTTACGTCGTTGGTCGAAATACGTGGCCACTCGATTAGGACCAGAATAATCGGCCGTGACTTCGATGAATCACCGGTAATTTCCAGCTTTCGAATCGTCTCGTAGTCCAATAGTCTGACCCTAATCGATCGCGGATACGCGTCAAGCCGCCTCCGTGTTCGTTTAATCCGCGAAGCTTTTTCGCTCGATATCGTTGATCCGTCTTCTCGCGCTTTTCCTTCGTCGAGACTGCGCTCTGATCGGAGAAGTCGAGCGGCGTCGGTATCGTTGAATCGCCGCTCCGAAAAGTACGATCACCCACGCCTCGCAGGAATCCCAAGGGCGAAACTCTCGAGCCGCTTATACCTCGGTGGCGAACCGCGATCGATATAGTCGAACGATATCGCTTTACCGATCGTGTCCTCTCTCTTTGCCAGTGTCCCAGATTCGACGGTATACGATGCACTTAGCTACGTCGCTGTAAACACCGGAGCCAGCTGTACACGGCCCTCGTAACGCGATGCGGGTCGATCGATCGGCAACGTTCGGCAAAGGAAGAAGGCCGTTCTGCGACGGGACGGGTCGGTGGTCGTTGCAGGGTGAGAGATGCGCTAATTAACGAGAACACGCGAAACATTCAGCGCGATTACCGTGCTTGGCCGACGCCACGATTTCGTGATTCACGAAGTATGTGGGGCACGTCGGTTCGTGGAAGTCCGTGACTAGACCGGTGACGAATACACCTTACCAACGCGACGACTACGAAATCCTGACTTCGGGTCGCGCTGCTCGAAAGCATCTTCGCTCCAGCGTTACGTTAATGACGTCAGAGCCGCGTGAAAGTTTGCCGCGTAACTCGTATCGCGATTATGAATCGCGTTGTGTCTCGTTCGAGTGCGCGGGCAACGGGCAACGCGGTGAAACGTCTCGAGGAAACTGTAGCGGGTCGGGAAACGGTGCGCGGCGTCGAAACCGAACGAAGGTCTTTTCCGGAAGAAAGGCGGAACGAACTGGTAAGACGAAAATTTTCCGCGATTCCTGGAAACCGTTTCGTCGGTTGTCTGTCGACGCACGCGCGCCGCTCGAGCAATGCCATATTTGGAAACGGTTGCAACGATTTTCGCAATATCTCCGTACGTGGTTAACGAGCACGTACACGGGCCGGAAAGCCGCGCCGTGAAAAGTTAACGCGCATTGTTCGAGATTCGACGCGTTCGGGCCTTCCCGAGTACGGAAACGAAACCCAACGCTTGTAACGCGACCATTCGTTCCCCTTGACACGCGCATTCTTCGTTGCTACCAGTGACGGCGACAGCTGACGAACCAGCCGGCCGATACCGATGACCCCCTCGTGTTTCTCGCACGCTATCCTTCGTACTTCTATTTCGTTCGGAAGGCTACGGAAAAATGTGAAACGGTAGCGTTCCGACGCCGCGTGGAGCAACGACGATGCAAAAACGTCGGCAACGGGATTCTTTTCTCCGGAAGAATGCGAAGCGAAACGTAAAAATTAGAGTCACACCTGCGGTGACTGCACCCCTATCACGGAATATGACATTCCGTCGTAAGTACTCCGCATTCCAAGCGGAAAAAGGACGTCGAACCTCGAGGAAGCAAGTGTCCCTGATATCGTGTCCTTTTCCGTCGCTGCGTCCGTTCTGACTCGACGTAAAATATGATTTTAGAACAGTAGAGACTAGGGGAACGCGATCGATCCCGACGAAAATGCTTATACGCGGCCACATAACGTCCGTGACATGCACAGGTGTGGCCAGTTATTCCGCTCGATTTATCGCCCTCTTCGTTCGCTGCTGCACAGCGTAAGGTATCGACAGGGCCGTAGCGACAGCTTTTACGCCCACGTGGGCAGATTTTTGAAGCGACATCGAAATCGCTTTGCCATATTTTGGTACTAGACTGTTACTCGAGCAATCGCACATTTCTGTAGTTGTCTCTGCGGCTATGCCCCATTTCGAAATCAATTTCTCCTTCAAACGAGCGTTGCTCGAATCGTTCCTCGCATTTCGCAAAGCGTCTTTTTCCTTAATTTCAACGGAAGCGAATGTTGCGACATTGTCCGTTACAAAAGTTGAGCCACCGTGGTTTCGACGCTGTCTTTAGAAAGGAAAAAGAAGATGGCCGAAAAGATAAAAGAGGAAGAGAGGGAAAGAGAGAGAAAGAGGAGAATACGACAAAGCTAGGCGCGAGTCACGAAAGTAGATCGGAAACGGCCACTCGACCCGACCCGTTAAAACGAGAGGTTTACGTAGTGTACCGAACACGACGACACCAACTGCCTAACTGTCGTTTCCTCGTTCGTAAGCCGTACAGTGCGGCGTACGCTTTAGCGTTCTCGTTTACGAGGTTGGGACGTGTCCTCGTTTCTTCGGCACCTCCTTCCTTCAAATCGAACGATCTTGCCGTTTCCTCTTCCGATAGCTCGACGCACGCGTTTGCATACATTAACGGGTTATCGCGCAACCTCGTTTTCGCCACGATTTGTCCGTCTTCCGAAGCAAACATTTGCCTTTCGTTTTCCCAAATTTTCCGATCGGTTTTGACGACGCGTTACGAGTGATGCGACGTAGGTGTCCACGTAGAAGACAAACTTCTATGCGTACGTAGAATACGTTAACGTGGGACGGTTGGTCGGTGATGACCCGAATGCCGTGAAATCGCCGTGTGGGACGCGTGTCGCTCGCGGGCCTTTCCTTCGATTCCACGCACTCCGATAATTACGATTTCACGCGTAATTATTCCCATCTCTACCATCTTTTAAACTCGCTCGTAACGATGTCTTTTTCCGTCGCGACAAAATTCTACCGGATAATTGGTCGTTTATCGGATCGCGTTCGTACGCATCGAGCTTGCTAAAAGTCGATCAATCGACGAGAGATCCAGCGAATTCCACGCGCTTAAACGTAAACGCGGAAACCTCCGGGCAGTCGAGAGAACATAAACGATCACCGCTGGATTACATTCTGTTAGCACAGTTTTCTCTCCGCGAGACGGTGAACGTCGCCGAGGCCGTAGACGTGGCGCCCATTTAAACGTTTCTCCGTTCCGCTCGAACCGACTACCTTCTCGACACGATGGCTCGCCAACGCTCTGTTCGCTCGATCTTTGCCGTTTCTTCGCAAAATAAATAGGAGAGCAACACGAGAAGTTTGTTCCGCGAACTCTGGAGCGAACGAGAGAAGAAACGATCGAGAAAAACACGAGGAGCGCGAACGAATCGCGACTCGTTCGACAGCCGTTTAATCGAGTCGCCTTTTACTTCTCGACGCGACGCGTCCTTGCGTAAACGACTCGATGACGGCCTTTGTCGTTGTTGTTATTGTGTCATCGCGAGTAACGGGCCGTCGCTTCTCGGCCAAGAGGCGGGAGCGGGTGATTCGAGTCGCGCTGCGCCACTCCGCTCCGTTAAAAGGCAGCCTCGAAAGCGCCACGTGGGCGCTCACCTTCGATCGCGTGTCATCGTTTCGCACACGGCAAAACGCGTGCACGCTCGCTCGTGTTTACGCGTCAAAATTTCACCGTGGCTCGTTCTCGATTTGCCAATGTACGTTTTAATCGTATACGCGTCCTTTGCTTTCGATTCTCGAACGTCGCTGTTAACGCCCGATCTTTGTTCGTTCGAGGTCGTAAGGCGGTCACTTGGACATTGCCGTCGCACGGCACCTTTCGATTCGATTAGGAACGAAAGCGGAGACAGGGTTGCGAGAGTTCCCTCGACAACCCCGTCGCGAGCGCGTTCTTCTTGGCTCCAGAAACCTACATTCCGGCAAGAGTCGGGAAGATCGAGTAGATTAAAGAGCGAAGCCAAACCAGTCCTCGATATTGACTCGAAACTGCTCGGTTCGCTCGGCGAACGTCGCAAAATCGATGCGTAAACGTCTGGGACGCGACCGGCCACCGAGTCGAGGAAGCGGGAAGGAATTCTCAAACGAATCGAGGAGTGAAATTTTACCGCCTTTCACCGTTTGCGTGCCTTTTCGATCGAACCTGCCACCGCTGTCTCTTTCGCGTCTCTCCGATCTTACACCTTTTACGCCGCTCCTCGAGATCGACCAGATCGAAAAACGGAAGGAAAGAACACGGTCGTCGACCTTTTGATCGCTGCTCGTAACGGATGCACCGAAGTAACGTCACGATCGCAAAAACTGGCCCGGATACGCGACGTTCTCGCGCGAGTGCGCGAATCATTGCCGAACAGAAGCGGCAACAGAAGCAGCGGTTAATAGTCGAAGAGAGGGCAAACCGCCATAGTCTATTTTTGCCACGGTTTGCTTATTCTCGTCTCTGGCATTTTAATCGAATATCCTGTTTGACGAGCAAACATCGGCCCGCGGATATATTCCGGCGTACCGTTTTCTCTTTGTTCGTTCGTTTTCCACGCCTTTGCACAGTCACCGGAAATTCTGGCGGATCACGGAACGATTCGAGGGGATCGGTTGGAAAGAGGGAGCGGAGAATTCGCAGAAGAGCCACGAACGAGAGGGTGGACGAGAGAAAAGAAAGGTGGTCGCGATATTCGATGCTAAATTTAAAGATCGAAAGGTTTGGACGATGGCCTCTCCCTCGGCTCGTTTCCAGATTCGTCGATCGCCGGGCGAATGCACGAGTATACAAATATATCGCAGGCGCATGCACGCGCGCATTCCCTCGACCACGACTGCGGTGCATTCCTCGAGAGCGAGCACTGCATTAGCACTGGCGCCAGCGCTCTCTCGACCTCGAGGGAAGCCAGAGAGCCACCCTAGACGGAAAAACGGTTTTTGCGGTTTCATCCAGTCGTTTTTCTGCGAGCACGTTTCCGATGCACTCCCCAAGAGGCTCTTCTTACTTCGCCAACTCGACCGACTCGTTCGCGTCGCGTTCCGTCGTTTCTACTCTCTTTTTTATAAAAACGTTTTTCGTACTCGTGGACCTTGAACCGCGATCGGTATACTCGTCGAGTTAGCGACAACCCGATAACCGCTTTTGACCACTCGAGGGACGATAACGCCGCCTGTTCTACGAGACGATCGACGAAAAATTCCTTCGCCGTTAGTCACCGTTGACGAGGAACGTTCTTTCCGTTGGAACGTCACCGACGAACCAGAAGCGTACGAGCAACGACGACGAGATTCGAAGCAACTGTTGCCGAATAGCCGGAGGCAGAGCGAAAGAGGATATAAAAGACGTTAGCTCGTTGTAGGAAGTAGGCGACGGATAGGTGGCAGACGACGCGCGCGCGAGACTCTAATAAAACGAAACTCGTTTCGTGACCTCTGGTCAGCATACGGCACAGTAAATTTTGCCTTCGGCGAAGGACCCGTTTGCCAGGACGTTTCGAGGCTCGACGACAAAGCTACTCGGTCGAACGAATCGCGGCCTCTCTCGTGGTTTCACCTTTTGTCGGTGAAATCCTCGTCGATGGAACGCTTTTTACCTGAAAGAGCCGCAGCTTGGCCGTCTCGTCGCTCGGTAATACGTCTGGAATTTTGCTCGAAAAGGCTTTCCCGCAGTGCGGACCGGCAGCCTCTCGACCGGGCCGCTTCGCTCTCTTCTTCGGCACACGGCGGTTAGAGCCTCCCTCGGTTTTCTTTCTTTCGCGAAAACCCGTTCGAGCAGCGTGCGCTGGAACACCGCCAAAAAGGAAAACTACCAGTCCTTTTATCGCGCGCTTTCAAAGAGTCGTAATACGGATCCGAGTAGGCTTTACGCGGATACTTTTTGGCTACAGTTCACGGTCGCTGCAACTTCGAGTTGCAAGATTAAAGCGCCGTGAATGGGCGGCCAAATAATCGAGACACGGGTACTCTCCGGTTTGGCCGATCGCGCGATCATGGACGGAGAAACACCGGGCTGCGGATAATACGAGTAACCTTCATCCGTGGACCGTTATTCTGCCCTGTCGGGCCCGGCGGCTACGGCTATTCAGGTCTCTGGGTCCCCGATCGTCGGCGACACCGAACCGAGAACTCGACGTCTCACGCGAGATGCGACAGCTTCCTTCTATTATACGCCCTCTTCGATCGCGATACGTTGTTGTCGCGTTCCGTTCTCGTTCTTCGGGTCTCGCGATTCGATCCGGAGAAAAGCGCCAGAGGCGAGCAACGGGGGACGAAAAATCGGGCATACTTCCGATACGGTTCGAGGTCAAAGCCGATTCGTCGACGCGAGAAGGTATCTCGCGCGAACGTCGCGTCTCGTCGCGTCGGTCTTCCGTAAGTGGGCCACGCGCAAAGTAGGCCTTCTCGCGAACGCGCCCGGTGAACGAAGACGCGTCGTGGCAATAGCGTCTCGTTTCGACGAAACGCGGATCGCGTCTACCTTTCGAATACGAACGGAATACCCGTGATTCGGATCGAGGCGGATCGCTAATGGGATCAAGGAGCAGAGTTCAGGAGGCGTGTGCTCTTCTCTCGAATCGTTTGTTCTGGCGAGACGGTTGGGCTCGCCTTTGCCACGGATCGACGTCGACCGATAAATCTTGCAGTTGTTCCTCGAACGTTTCCGGGAGAATGGAACGCGAAGCTAGATCGCCGCGATCGTCGTGTACCATTCCGTATCGCGATAAATCATGCGCGCTTTAGAACGTAAAAAGTAAGTTTCGAAACGAGCTGGCTGACTCGGTCAACTGGTAGTTCGATCGGTAGCATCGTTTCGTCGCGCGACTACGGAGAACCGCCTAGCGGAAGCTAGGCGCGATAAGCGATTATAGACTGGTCGTATCGCATCGCGCTCGATTACGGAATCTCGGCGTCACGGTAGTGGACGGTTGCGTAAACGACGAAACGAAACACGGTGCATCGATCGTCGTCGATGCTCGAGAGCTAGATTGCCTTCGAGAAATCGCGAACGGTCGCGTCGAGTAACGGCCGTGGTTCTCGAAGGAGAGCGACTCGGAGCGACAACCGCCTTTCCCGATTTCGTCACGAGTGCACTGTTAGAGGCACGGTATCGTTACCGAACGACTCCGTTCCATTGCGAACCGTATCTCTCTCTCTCCCTCTGACTCCTTCTCGACCCAACGTTCAGGACACGCGGATCCGCGCGTGGGTTCCGCGATATGGGCCGAAAGCTGTCGATCACGCCGCTAAGGACTGTCCAATTACCGTGACCAAAGCGTGGTATTAATGAGTGTACGTCCACGCCGCGCGCAACCAGTTTTGAAAGCCGTTCGATTTATAGCCTTGCTTTCGATTAGCTATCACCGGTACCTCTGTACCAGCGAGAAAATAATAATCCTTCCGTAGCGTGGATCTCGAGATTTCGTCGGTTACGAAGATAAGAAAAATATGCGATAACTCTAACGGACTCGACGACGAAGCGGCCTGGCATTAACGCGAAACCGATGACGTTCCACGAAGAGCGACGGCGAGTCATGCCTCGGTCGGTTCTCACGAGCAGCCTCCTTTCGTATGCAGAAGCGAGCAAAGGCACGCGGGATCGCGTCGTCGAGGAATTTCGACCGGGCGCGGACGGGCGACGTTGAATCACGCGTGCGTTAACTCTCCTCGACGTAGCAACGAATCGCGCGACGTGACTCACGCTCGTGGCTTCGGGGCTCGACTCGATCCGGTCGAGGAAAGGTACGCGACTTTTGTTTCGTAACCTCGAATCCGTGGGCATACCGCGAAACGGTTCCTTCTTCGCCGGGTTCTCGGCGAGGTCGGCCGCGTTCCTTCCTGGAAGACTCCGATCGAGAGCCGGAGAGCGACGACGGTTGGAAAGAAAATTGTGAAACGGGAGGAAAGGTCAGTGGCTCGATCGAGTCGAGTCACGAACGAGGGCCGTTTTCAACGTCGAGGTTCGCCACGCATCGTGTGCGCAGTGCGCGCAGGTTGCACGCGAAGGGCTCGCGAACGATGCGTATCTATGCCCGACCGGCTGAGTCACGTGGGAAGCATGCGTGAAGCTATTCCTCGGCAGGTTCGGCGTTTACCCTTACCCTTCTCTTCTTCCTCCGTCGTTTTTTCTTTCTTTCTTTATTTCCTCTTGCCGTTTCCAAGCGAGCGAGCATCGTGCCTCGCCTCTCTTCATCCCTCTCTCGCTCTTTTTGCCTTTCGCCCTAGCATCGCGTCGATCGAATTACCGCAAATTGATTCGGATGTATCGATCGTGCGCGTAATCCGCGTGCTGCCAGCCAAGCGGTGGACGTTGATCGATCCTAGCGGTCGAGCCGCGTCCATTAGCGCGGCCTGTGAAAAGCTACGGACACGCTCTCGTCCCACGGAGGCTGCGTGAAATTCCATCGTTATCTGTATCCGTGCTTTAATGCGGCAACGCTCGTTGGTTATCGGCGTCATTACCGAGAGCGGGAGCAACGGAAAAAATGCTCGATCGTTTCGCGTACGCTTCCGCCAAGTCAGAGGCCCCAGCGTTGCCGGGAGGAGAGTATCGAGATCCTCTCGGAAGAATTTCAAACAGTCGTAACGCTTTTCTCACGGTACACGAGAAACCTTTAACCCGCGTCGATGATACGCAAAATCGGAGAGGAGACCGTTCCTCGAAGACGCGGCCACGAGAACGTGGAACGCGAGAGGAAATAACTCGGATGTTCTACTCGAGAAACTTTAAAGCGCGGTTCAAACGATTTGTTAGCGGAGCCGCTCGAGGGAAGAGGTTGCCTTCTCGGTGTAACCGACTTAAATTATTGGCCGTACGCCTCGGGGTCCCGATTGAACGTTCAATTGCGGCCATTATGTAAATATTTTGCTAAGAAGATGACAGGATTAAACCGACCCGCCGCACCGGACCTTCGTGCAATAATCGGACAAGAATGTTCCAATTAAGTCTCGAATAGCTCGTAGGTAGAACGCGTGGTCTCGCGCTCAAAATCATAAATATTAGCGAGTCGCGTTGGCTGCTATTAAACGTAATTCCGTAATGGGAAGAAAATTTGTTCGCGAAAAGATAATAAAAGTTCATTTTCTCGGAGCCTGATTCGATCTGGTTGTTATCGCGCTCGGCGGAAAAAAGAGAAAGAACGTTTTCGTTGCCGCGGTCTCTCGAGGTCTCGAGTACAATGCCGCCAAACTATTTGCACTTGAATGCCGGGTCTCATCCGTTTTCAGGCCGGATGTAGGTCCCGCCTTGCACCGGATGCGATCCCTTTGCCGCATCGACGCGAGCTTCTCCCGAGGTCTCGCTACTCCTTTTACCCTGTTCTTCTGTTGGCTCCGAACCAGGCTCTTTTCAGAACAATTAACCGAAACAGCGTAAACTCGAGCGGAACGAACTTTCGCGGTCGATTTCGTTCGTTCGGTGGTCGTCGTAATCGAGAACGCCCACGCGTTTCACCGGCGAACGATACGTCTCTCTCAGTTTTTTAATGGCCGTTATAAATCACGATCGCGTCGGTTTCTCGAGTTGTTTCATTCGGAAAACTCATTAAGCCTCTGTCGGTCGGTTCGCCTCGGTCGACGTTAATAACCGGCTATGCCCTTTTACCGTTCGCCTTCTCGAAAAAGCTCGCGTTCCTTTTCGCGACCGGATGAAATATTCTTCTATTCGCTCGTCTCGCGGATGAAATTAATCCGAAATTGACCGGATCCGAGTGGCGAAAGAAAAAGCCCGATTTATTAATCATCGACGGATATTACCGAGCGTTCGCTCTCGGCGTAGCGGAGAAGGGAGAGATAGATCGGCGACCTCGTAAAAAAGCCCTAAAAGCAAATTGCTCGGCTCGTAACAGCCGACGGCCAAGTCTAATCTCGCAGAGGGCAACGTGGCTAGCGTCGGGGAACGAACGAACGAAGGAACGAGAAGGGGAGCAGTTCGCCGGTAGGCCGACGTAATTAACAAAGTCACGCTCGGTCGACCCGAGTCAAGGCCGAACAATTGTTTCATCCCCGCACCGAATTCGCGCTACACCGACTAGCAGTGCCGATTTCAGGGCTAATCTCCGTTCGACCGGATGTCTCGATTCGACCGCGAAGAATGGCTGCTGTGTACGCGAGGTAGCTGCCTACGGCGTTATCGTTTCGGTCTCGGACGCGAACGGATCATTACGCTCGCGCGTTATCCCGACGGTCGACGAGGAACGAGGAAGCGGCGTCGCTTAATCGATAATGCATTGTGCCTTCGCAGGAACGCGTAACGCGAGGAGTACGCGTTCGTTGGAAAGCGGCGACGCTAATAACACGCCGGCCACGAACCGACGTTTCTAGTACGTCCGGAAGATTAAAACTCGTCGAGTTTTTAACCGTTTCACCGGTTGCTCTCCGGTATCGGTCGCCGCGATCGATCCTTGGACCGGTTTTGAGCTTTCTTCCTGTCTACCCGTTAGAATCGGCTACTCCGATTCTTCGAATCGCTCGAATCGTCACCCGTTTATACACGGCGAAAACGAGCAAACGGAAGAGCGACGACACGAAAACGCGAAAAAGAATATCGCTGGGTAATTAAAATCGAGTGGAAGCAAATAAATTGCACGAAACGGCGCTGCGAGGAAGATGGCGTGGCGAGCGGAGAGCGTATCGCGAACCGATCAGGAAAGAAGTTATCGCGAGTAACGGACGCGGTAGATCCAGCTTCCAAGAATAGAGCGTCCTCGCGGAGGTTAACCCCACCTGGAATGCCATCTTCTGCTTGCTTTCTCGACGATGGCGAACGCCGTGCATGGAGGGCGCGCGAAAAAGCCGCCTCGATAAAGGAAAAACGAATCGCTGCCGCTGGCGCTATTATCGCGATGATATTTTTCTAACAGCCCATCGCGTTGCGGATCATTTCATCTCGCGCGGCGTAAACGATCGCGACGTTCCGACCGTGGTTATCGCGTTGCACAGTATCGAATCGAAAGCGGCAAAATTGCACGTTTCTCGCGAACGAATTATTATGCTTGCCGGATAACGCCGCGAACACGGTTGAGCAACTCGCGATAACCTAGATACTCGACGATGCTACGAGGAACGAACGATCCGCGCGAATTTGCAAATCAGCGTATTCGTTTAATGGATCTTCGATTAAATTACTTTCGCGAATGACCGGCTGAATTTTTACAGATTGTTTTGTCGGACGGTCTCTGATCCGCGGTAGTTGGTGATAACCGGTTCTCGACCGTGGGTATCCGTTCGAAACTCGTGCACCTTCCTTTATCGATCACCGTGGTCCCCTCTCTTAACGAACGCGGGTAATTGAACGCGCACCTATCTTCCACGGTCAGCGTGTTCTCGATATTTCCGATTACTTTTCACGTACGCGATCCGCCCGAAGAGGTTAGGCGTTTCGTCTCGCGATAGAGCCCCTCGTTAGCGAGCACGCTCGCAGATTCGTGTCCCGAATATTTGGATGGGTAGTCCGTATCGCTCTTTCCTCTTCCGAATCTTTCGAAGAGACGGAAAACGACGTGCATATCGGGGAAGACGAAGCAGAGTCGTTACGTGTACGTCGCGCTATCATACGTGCTCGGAGTACGGCCGCGTTCGTGTTTAGAACAATAAAGAAAATCGTAAAGCGCGCGCGATACAAAAGCGAGTGGAGGATTCGCGACGAACAGTCGTTCGAGTAATTGCGACACGGTTTAGCGCTCGTTACGATTTCACGCGGTCTCCGGCTTTCGCTGGCATTTGCTCGACACCGAGCAAGATTGGCGCAATGCGGGAGAGTGCGAGACAGAAGGAAGGCAATGATCGTTAGACTCGAGCAAAGCGACGTTACGTCACGCGACCGAGTTTCTAACGTCCGTTTAACGATCGATCGCCGCGAATCCTCGACCGGCAATCGTTATCGCGAAATCGAGTTAATTTCGCTCGTTTGCTCGTCGATCGTTTCGGAGCCTCGAATAACTAACGGTTAGTCGGTGTTTACCGCAAACGAAGGAGATCGACTTTACGATCGGACCATTCGTTCCTAAATATTCCTGGCGAGCCTTCGATTCTTTCTGTTCGTTTCCGAGAACGATGTCTCCTCGAGGATGTTCTCACGAAACTCGAAAGGACACGTTGCCTCGAAAAAAGGATCCACCGCGTTTTAGTGTTTCGAGCCCTGAGGCTCGATCGCGTTTCTCTCGCGCACGGTTACCTGCGGCGACTGCTATCGCAAATATATATCCGTCGCACGTAAAGAAGAAATAAATTGCCAGCGGGTCGTAAAGAAATCCGTAGCGAAGGCGTGCACCATCGGCTTGGTAGCTCGCCAACGAGGTTAGTGGGATTTGAGATTTTCGATAGCTCCTTCCTACGCGTAGTCGGTGTATAACGTGTCGAGGATAACCGGCGGGCGTTCTCTTCTCGCGTGAACGCGTTCCTCTTGCCCGCGAGAACGTTCGACCGCCAGCTCCCGCTTTCTGCCGCTGCGGAAGCGAACGAGGAAAGAAGAGGCGCTCTTCTCTCTTCTTCTGCTTCGTTTTATTCTCCTTCTTCTTCGTCTCCTTCTTCTTCTGCCCCTTCGCGCTAATTTACATGTGACGCGCGCAGCCAAGTTCAACGCACCAAACGTTAACCCTTCACGGATGCTTTATCGCGAGAAAGAGAAAACGCAAAGTCCGTTCGATCGATCCCATCTTCCGCGAGAATTCTTCGCGGTTGCACGAAGAAACTAACGAGGAATTTTTCGTGTTTGTTGCAGGTACGTATCGCCCGGACTTATTTGCCAGAGATACCCGCAACAGGCTTCCCCATTGTGAGAAAGTACCTACGATTAGTCAACGCTGATAATTCCTTATCTTCGCGTGAAAGGCGTTGGAAGATTGCTTCGCGATTATCTCTCTCCACCCCCCACCCTCTCCCTCTCTCGCTATCTGTACGAGGCATCGAGCGAACGGTTACAAACGAGTTTTCTCCTACCCTCCGCCGTCTTGTTTTCCTTTCTTCTGACGCAACGTCGGTGGGTGTTAATTTGTGTTATTAGTCACCGATTTCTGGCAATCCACGATTCGTCGGCCCGCGTTCCGCCGTTCGATTCCCCCGCACGTTCCAAGAAACTTACGAGAAGTACGCGAAAACGTGAACTCGCGATTCGACAATTTGGACTCTGTAAGAGTCGAGCTTAGACCATCTCGCTGAAGGACGCTGCTATTCGGCCGATCGCCCACCCAGCGTCGTCGACCGAAGTCCACGATGCGTGGAATCCACGCGTGACTCACGCGACTTGATTTGGTTTTCATGCGGGAGGGCACACCTTGATTTAACGCAACATCTTCCTCGGTTAATTGTGATTCATCGGCGGTTAGCATCGATAGTCGCAGCGTTTATGGAAATTAGTCCCTACTACGGTTCTCTACGACGCGACGCGTTAGTCATTTTATCTTGTATTCGTTGGGTCGTAACGATTAGACGAGCCGCGGCGGTATAGTTGTTATCGATAACTATTCGTCGAATGGGCCGAGAAATCTCCCGGAATGGTAAGCAACGCGTTAATAGTCGGCGAGTATGCGGCGAAGGCACTTTGGTCCGCGATACCCGTCAACCGGTTGGTCAATTTTGGCTCGATCGGGTCCCTTTTCCCGTCCTTCTGGGATCGACATCGATTTTTGCTCTTTTCGAACCGGGTCAGCAAACTGTGGCGACCGACGAAGGACGCCAAGGGTGTTCTTCTCCCCCCCGTTCGTCCGGAGCTTCCTCCTTTTCGTCCACGTTCGCTTACCGAGCGCCTCGCTTTTTTCTCTTCTCGTTGGAGAAATTTGGAAGTCGGCGCCCATCCTTCGGTCCGTTCGTGACGAGCATTAATCCCGACAGCGCCCAAAGTATCGTCCCCTCGTGGCCGTTTTGCGGCGTTCCGTGGCTAAATCGGGACCCCCGAGGGATACGAGCGACCAATTCGAAACGGTATTCGACCGATCCGTCCAACGAATCGATATCTCGATCGTTTTTCTCTCGTCCTTTCGACTACTTTTTCCTTCGGTTCTTTCCCGTCAATGAAACCGTTAAAGAGCATCGGAACCGATCGATAATCACGATACATGCGTGCGTTTAGAGATCGCTATCGAACGCTTGCACGATAGTCGAGGCCGAACATCCGATCACGAAGTCGTGTTCGATCAACACGCGAAAGAGGAAACCCGACGATCAGCTTTATTCTCGCGAGACATCGAATCGTCCTCGTGCGGTTTGCTCGCGGTTACCGATTGGAAGTTTTGAAAGGAGCCAAACTGGTCCTCTCGCATCGGCCATAATTCAGCGATTGACAAGAGGAAGTCGCCGAACGGTCGAGACGAACGGTTGTCGGATCACGATCGGTCTTCGTCGTATCTCCTCTTTCGTGGCGTCGTTCTAGCAATCTAGTATTTCTTTTTCTTCTTTTGCATCGATAAACGTTGCCACGATTAGCATGGCAAAACTTTCCGATCCGCTTTGCTGCGCTCGAATTCGAGGTAAGAGTCCGGATGAGGGTGCTCGATTCTCGGAATCGCTAGAACGCGTGTCACGCAGACGAGGGCAGCGTTACGCGAGAAGCATTCTAGACATCGACGATAACTTTTCGTCCACGAAACGAGCGTCCGCTCCTTGACCTCGGTACCGCTCGTTTGACTTGCAAATCGTACCGGCTCGTCTAACCCGCGCTGGAATAGCATACCATATTGTCCACCTTTCTCGCTTCGGGAGAAAATGCGTAAGCATCGGAGAGAACGATCGCGTGATACACAGCGATTCCCTGGAATCGGGTGTAGGAGAAAAAACCGAATCGCAGGATCATTTAGTGATCATGGTTTTAGTAGAGTTTTTGAAAGAAGTCGAATTCGCGTGAAAGTTTTGAACGTACTCGCTTATTTGGTCAGCCTCCTTTTCATGTATAGCATATAATCGTGAGATTCTCCGTGACCTTTGAATGGTAGCTGCGCTACCGCGCTAGTCTCTGAGCTCGAGAAACCGACGCGATGAAATTCCCGATGCGAAGAGACGTTCGCTAGGAAGCGCCGATTGGCAAGATAATGCGCACCTTCGGTCAAATCGCTAACGCGGACCGTTCGTTTACGTAATTAATTGAGCGCCGGTAAATCCGCGATGTCCGTCGACGTGGCACCTGCGGCAGAATTCCATCCGTGTGTCGGTGAAACGAAGTATAGCCAGCAAATGGAAAAGTATCCCGTATCCAGTGCCGTAATAATAATCATCCTCGGTACAGAGGGATAAAAGTTTCTGCGGCGCTCGACCGCAGCAGGTTTCGAATGAAACGATTCGAAGCGGTCTGCGGGAACGCGGTCGATCTGACAAAAATCGTAAAACAGTTCTTCTAGCCGCTCGGTCGGAGTGCTCGCGCGAGCACCGCCGTTGTATATTTTTGCGGGGAAAATTGACAAGGACGGGTCGTGTTTGCGCCGCGTCTCGATTCCATCGCTACGCGTTTTTCGAGCCTTTCTACTCAAAGTCCGTTCTCGCGAATTCCTCTCTGCACGACCCTGAACCGAGCACGGAATCCAAATGCCTGCTCGAGAGTCGGCTCTCTCGTCCTGCCGTTCCTTTGTTCGTGCCGTGACATCCGTGAAGAATCGGAAGCTGGAAGAAGACCGCGGAGGTCGGGGGTCGAAAGACTGTGCCACGCGGAAAACAAGCTGGCTCGAGAAAATTACCATTGTTCCGCGTCCCCGTTCAAATTCCCTGGTCGTCCTGTTTTTTTTATGCAAATTTTTGTCTGTCGTAACGAAGCGGCAAAAA